ACACACACACACACACACAGCTGTGGTTGTAAATGTGTGTGTTCTTGTGTTCAGATGTCTGTTTCCTCACTCTGGATCCAAACACAGCACACACTCTACTCATTCTGTCTGAGGAGAACAGAGAGGTGAAGAGTGTGGAGGAGAATCAGCCGTATCCTGATCATCCAGACAGATTTGATGTTCTTTATCCTCAGGTGTTGTGCAGAGAGAGTGTGTGTGGACGCTGTTACTGGGAGATTGACTGGAGTGTAGATGAAGTGTGTATATCAGTGTCATATAAGAGCATCAGGAGGAAGGGAGGAGGTGTTGAGTGTTGGTTTGGATATAATGCTCAGTCCTGGAGTTTGTTCTGCTCTTCCTCCAGATTCTCATTCTGGCACAATCACACACGCACTGTTCTCCCAGTGAAGCGGCTCAGCAGGAGAATAGGAGTGTTTGTGGATCACAGTGCAGGAACTCTGATCTTCTACAACATCTATAGAGACACAATGAGCCTCATCCACTCAGTCCAGACCACATTCACTGAGCCGCTCTGTGCTGGATTTACTGTTTATCCTGGATCATCAGTGAAACTGAGCTGAAGACTGACGAGAGATTTACCCAGAATCCTCTGCAGGAGCAGTCAGCAGCAGTGTGTGTGTGTGTGTGTGTGTGTGTGTGTGTGTGTGTGTGTGTGTGTGTGTGTGTGTGTGTGTGTGTGTGTGTGTGTGTGTGTGTGTGTGTGTGTGTGTGTGTGTGTGTGTGTGTGTGTGTGTGTGTGTGTGTGTGTGTGTGTGTGCTGCTTATGTGCGAGCCAGGTGATCAGGAGATGTGCTGCAGGTGTGTGTGACAATCAGTCAGTGGGGATGACGTAATGTCAATAGTCTGGTCAAGATGACCTCTGCTGGCCAGCGAGGGGAATGACTGGGACCGAGTAGGTGACAGAGTACATCAGAGGGGTCTTAAAGGGGCATTTACCACATCATGACAAGGTGGACAGCAAACTCAAGGACACATGCAAAACGATTAATAATATTATGAAAGCTAAATAAAAGTGATTAAAATGACTTTTTTTGTGAAATAACTTGTTAAAGACAATAAGAATATTTATAAATCTTTTTAATTTGATCTAATTTATCTACTTTGTAGACTCACTGAAGTTGGCTGAGCGATGTGTGGGACATGGCAAAACCACATCCATTCAATGACAGAATATGGCAAAAATTGACAAAAACATTTTAAAACACTCATAATTCTACCTGCATGTGTGTAAAAGTTTAACAATTATATCAAAACATCAGAGTTTCATTATTGTGCATTATGCCCATAAAAACCTTACTATTTTGATAAATGTGGTTTAATGAAGTGTAAAATGATAGTATAAAATTATTTTCTTCAATAAATACATTTACAAAAAAATGTGTATGTATGGCCCCTGACTTTATTCACAACACTCAGTGCGGCCCTTACTAAGTTTGGATTTGACACCCCTGGTTTAGTGGATTTAGTCAGAACTGAGTTGTGGGCTGCTCATATGCAAGCTATTGTTTTCAGTCATTCTTCTTACACTTCATTAAGTTAATTCACTCTGTATACAGAAAGTACATTCCCTTTAATTTTGCACTTAAATATTGCTGGTTATTTTTGATGATTGAGTTTTTTTGAAGATTAAGATTTGATACTTTTTTTGGTGCAACCAAATGTTTGCAGCTGTTTCAACTGTCAAATAGGCTCGGAACTTTTCAAATGTTTTAATGGTTAATTTTTCATACATATACACACAGTACAATTATTTGACAAGTACATAAAGTAAAACAATCACTTTAATTGTTCACTGAATGTTACCCTTAAATAGTGAAAGTTTTCTTGATTTTTACCAACAACTGTTTACATTTAATTGTACAAGTTGCATCTACCCTGAAATAAACGTCTGAACGATTAAAATGTGTTCCTAGAGAGATAGTTCACTAAAAAAAAGAAAATTTACTCGCTATTTACTCACTCCTCAAGTGTTTACAAGCCTCTGTGGATTTTTTCTTCTGTTGAACACAAAAGAAGATAGTTTGAAGAAAGCTAGAAACCTATAACCATCGACTCCCATGAAAAAAAAAACATAAGAAATAAACAACAGAACAAGTAAACAAGTAAAGAGTGAGGAAATTGTCAATTTTCTTTTTTTTTTTTGTCCTTTTTTAGTTTGTGTTTCTATACAGTTGGGTGTTGCATTATTGTCAACCTTTCATACAGGCCATAAGTGAAACATTTAAAAAAAAATTTGCAACATTGTTTTATTCAAATGGTTTTAATGTGTTTGTTGCACCACATTGTAATGTTTAGTTAAGTACTCATGCATTAAACAACACAACCTCCATATATTCTGTCAAATGTTTTTTGTGGAGAATTCAAGATGGAGTGAGTAGGCTACTACACTAAAGAAAAAAAAATATTGATTGGATGTACAAAAATTGTGTGGGCTGAATTTAAACAAACAAATTAAGTTAAACATGACTAAATTTTATTTATTTATTCATTTTTTTATGGGCCAATAAATAATTTGCAAATAAAAGTCTGCTTTAATTTAAAAGAAAATTCAAAACTTTTAAAATCAATTTCACTTAAAGCTCTGTAGTGGTGCAAAAAGCCTGACAGCCAGTGGTCCATGTTAAAATTATTAAAGGTTCATTTAGCATGTATAGAAAAAACATGAGGAATACTGTTCTAGCATTTGTTTGAAGCAAAAATGTACTACTTAAGTTGAATATTTAATAAAGAAAATACCATAAAAAATTCAGTTTTAATAAAATTTTTTATTTCAGGTATAACCAACAAAATCTCACAGCAATTCGTAACTTTTTGATTTAGTGGCTAATTTATATTAATTTTTATGATCTAATTCGTACAATTTAGTACGATTTGCTCATCCCCCAATGACGGTTGGGTTTAGGGGTGGGGTTAGGTGCCACACCTCCTTTTTAAAATCTTACAATTTCGTACGAATTAGGCACTAAACTGGCAAAATGTAAAATACTTACATTTTCTCGTGAGATCAGGCTGGGTATAACACAACATACAGACAACATATCAGTTTACCTGTAAAAGCCTTTAGTATATATTTTAAACATACCTCCCCTTTATACTCTTTTAAGGTGAAACAAATGAAAATTCTATTACTTAAACTGAACAGTTTAAACAAAATTATTTTACTTTTGAATAACAAGACTATTTCTTCATAAACTCGCTTCCTCTGTTTCATTTGCATTTAGGTTAGGTCTGAAAGTAATGACAGAACACCACAGAGGTGTTTAAAATCATGCAAAAATGTACTAATTACTGTAGATGGGAAAGATGTTTAAACATTTAAAAAATAGTCATAAAAAATATTTATTTTTGTATGAAGTGCATCTTGATGCATTTTTATTCTTATCTCATCTAAGCCTGCTGGCCTTCTTTTGCACACGAGGATGGGACGGTCTGGAACAAATTATTCATTCTTTCAGAAAAAACAAAGTAACATCACTGTAATTGTGTTTCATCACACACAGAACTATATTAGAGGTTTTACACTTTAGCTTGAGCACTGTCGGACAGACAAGGGATCCTGAACAGAGCCAATATGGACAATTAGTATTTTTTAATAACTATAAACAAATTTTTGAATAACACATCTTTGCATATAAGACTACTTGTTAGTGGTAGATAGCTAACACATGAACATTTTTAGCCTATCAAAAAAAAAAAAAAATCAGAATTTATTTAGCATATAGCATGCTTTAATTGATACATGTATGGTTGTTTAGCCTGCTTTATCATAGCAATCTATGTGTGTGTGTCGACCTGCTCTCTGAAACATCTGGAATTCTCTATATTCATTATTGAATCCTAAATTTTCAATATTGCATTACACTATCCTTAAACACAACAATCAACAGTAGTAGTTTAAGTCACAGTGTATATGTTTTTGAAGTTTTTCCCCTTGTCAGTTAAAAAGTCCAATAACTGAGGAGATTGCATATAATAATTTGAGAGATTTAAAGGAGGGAAATAAGCTCATAAGATTCCCGAGCCCTGGGCTCCCTTCTGCAAGCAGGGCGTGAGGGGAGTTTGAGCTCAGGTAATTCTTGATAAACTCCCCCGACTCATTTCTGTTCAACTGACAGATATAGAGATGGCTAAAGAGAGCTATATGGCTTACTAAGAGCTCGACTATGGTGCCAATGTAGAATGTTCAGTTTAATTAGATCGGACTGTGGGAGGAACCTGGGTAAAACCTACCCGAGCACAGAGTTAACGAGCAAACTCCACACAAAGTGTTAACCGGTTCAGCAAACTTTAACCTGTAACATTCTTGCTTTAAGGCAACATTGCTAACGACGGGGTCACCGTCTTTTGGATGAGACGTTAAACCGAGGTCCTGACTCTCTGTGGTCATTAAAAATCCCATGGCACTTCTCGTGAAAGAGCAGGGTTGTAACCCCGGTGTCCAGGCCAAAGTCCCTCTATCGGCCCATACGATCATGGCCTCCCAATCATCCCCTTCCACCGAATTGGCTCTATCACTGTTTCTCTACTCCTCCAATAGCTGGTGTGTGGTGAGTGCACTGGCGTCGTTGTCCTGTGGCTGCCGTCGCATCATCCAAGTGGGTGCTGCACACTGGTGGTGGTGTGGAGAGACCCCCCTCATGATTGTGAAGCGCTTTGGGTGTATGGCCATACACAATAAATGCGCTATATACAATAAATACACATTACATTACATTACAATCTAGAAGGAGGGGTAGTAGGGGTGGGAGGGGAATTTCTCAAGACAAAGATAACCGAGGTAAGAAACTCTGGTTATTTATAGTGAGTTAGGAATCATCTGATTGGTGAATTATGTTAGCTAATGCAGGACCAGTTGTGGACAATCATAAGCATGTGATCCTCTCGAAAGTAATTTATAAATAAACTTCACGTCAACGAACAGCCAAACTACATGAAAAAGCTGCCGTTTTGAATATACCAGTGTTTGTGTGGACAAGGCCTCAATTTTGAGGACTCTGCTCTCCATTGTGAAGCTTCATGTGAGTGTTGAGGCTTCTTTTACTTTTAAAGCCCTTTCCACACTCACAGCATCTAAAACGATCCTCTCCTGAGTGAGTCTTCATGTGTTGCTTAATGGAGTCTTTGCGTGTGAGACTCTTTCCACACTGATCACATGTGAACACTATGGTTCCAGTGTGACGATTCATGTGATTCTTAAGGCTAGCTTTGGTTATGAAGCTCTTCCCACACTGAACACATGCAAACGGCTTCTCTCCGGTGTGAGTTTTCATGTGGTAATCGAGTGCGTTTTTACATATGAAACTTTTACCACACTCTGTGCATGTGTAAGGTTTCTCTCCAGTGTGAATCCTCATGTGGATGTGAAGGCTTTGTTTTTGAGAGAAACTTTTCCCACACTGTGTGCAAGTAAAAATTCTCTCTCCAGTGTGAGTTCTCATGTGGTCTTCAAGGGTGCCATTTCGCTTAAAACTCTTTCCACACTGAGGGCAAGAGTAAGGCTTTTCTCCAGTGTGAATTCTCATGTGTGCTGCAAAGTTTCCTGCATGATGGAAGGTTTGTCCACACTGTTGGCATGTGTACGGCCTCTCTCCAGTATGAATTCTCCTGTGCACTGCAAAGTTTCCTGCATGATGGAAGGTTTGTCCACACTGTTGGCATGTGTACGGCCTCTCTCCAGTATGAATTCTCCTGTGCACTGCAAAGTTTCCTGCATGATAGAAAGTTTGTCCACAGTGTTGGCATGTGTACGGCCTCTCTCCAGTGTGAATTCTCATGTGGGTTTTAAAGCCTTGTATATAACCAAAACTTTTTCCACACTGTTCGCAGGTGTAAGGTTTCTCCATAGTGTGAACTTTCATGTGAATGTCAAGGTTCCGCTTTTGACTGAAACTCTTTCTACACTGTGCACAGCTGAAAGGCTTCTCCCCAGTGTGAATTCTCATGTGCACCGCAAGGCTTCCTGCATAGTAGAAGCTTTTTCCACACTGTTCGCAGGTGTAAGGTTTCTCTTTAGTGTGAACTCTCATGTGAATATCAAGGTGTGACTTTTGACTGTATCTCTTTCCACACTGTTTACAGCTTAAAAGACATCCAGATTTGGGTTTCTGAGGTCTTCCACGTGAAGTCTTTTTAGTCAGTGTAGGTTTTTCATTAGTCATTATCTCTTGGGGTTTCTCTAACTGCTGTTTCTCCTCCATTTGATGAGTCTCTTCTTTCAGCACCACCAGGTCTAAAAAAAAGTGAACTTTTAGTATGAAGGCCCAAAGGAACAAGCATGAAATGGATGTTTCACCCACAAATGAAAATGACCTTACCATTTACTCTGTGTTATGCAGTTTTGAACTTTTCCTTTTTTCTGGAACACAAAGTAAGCCAATCTCTGCGTTTTCATCTTCTTTTGAGTTCAACAGGATCAAGAAACTCATAAAGGTTTAAAACCCACACGAGGGAGAGTAAATGGTGAGGCTATTTTCATTCCTGCATCAACAATCCTGTTTAAAGGGTTCTTATTATGAACCTTTTTACAAGATATTAAAGGTTTTGGCTCAAAATCAGATCATGTACCTTGCAGAATATCTCATTTTGGGGGTCAGAAGAAAACCAAGCTCTTTTTGTGCCTGTGGCTTTAAATGCAAACAATCAAATGAACTCGCTCTAAATTAACCGTGTTCATTCAACTTCCACTCCATTTAAACATTTTTAACTTGCTTGGAAGACACGATTGAGACAAATCCTGCATGTTCATAGCAAGTGCGCATAATTGACGCTAATATTTTTGAGTTTGCATTATTGTACATAACTTACGCAAATGTTCCCAATACTGGGTTGCAGCTGGAAGGGCATGCGCTGTTTAAAGCATATGCTGGATAAGTTGGTGGTTTATTCCGCTGTGGCGACCCCTGATAAATAAAGGGACTGAGCCGAAAGAAAATGAACAAATGAACTTATGCAAATGCTTTTGCCAGTTAATTAGGAAGTGATGATTTTGTTCTCTTTGATTCGTAGCATGGAAACGCTGATCTATTTGCATATATTTTATGTGATATTCCAGTTTTGCACATAAATGTAATTAATATTTTTGGATGGAAACACAGCTATTGCCTATTGCCTACATTTCAGTCACACAAAGAACAAATGTAAGTCACGTACGAGAATGGCTTGTCCTTTTAAAATAAATGTTTTGCTTAAATTCACTGTCCTTCAACATGTACTGTTACTGGATTAATGGGATTATTATTCTTCATAAAACATTTTTTTAGTTCTGCTTATATTCTAAATGTCATATCAACCTCTACCCCTTGATCAATAATAGAGGCAGACAAGTGCGCTTTTAAATCTATTAAAACTGATCAACGTTTATAAAAGTGGGAACATGGGTAAAAATGTAATGATCACACATTACATTACTTATTTTATTATACTTAATATTTAAATACTTTAAATGTATAATTACGCATTAACTTCAGCAGCTATGTTTTCCCACGCTAACTGTTTTTGTTTCCTGATGCAATGTTGTTGCTTTTTAAAATATACACTCATATTTGCTATAATTTTGCATGAGCACATCAAGTTCAGCTGGAGAAAGAAATGCTGATCTCGTTTTTCAGATGTTGCCCTAGTCACTCGTAATATCTGCGCTCCATTGATAATGCCTTTTTTATATTCATGGTGTGCACGCTTAACTCTGAGTTGGTCTAGGCAAAGTTTATTGACCCAACTCAGATTAACTATTTTGAAACAGAAAACTTGAGTTTTTAATCTCTCGGTAAATCAACTCAGAGTTCAAGTTTAAACTCTGAGTTGGTTGAACCTCCTTACTGAAACAGGCCCCTGATCTCATATGCTATTGTTTTAGAACTTCAGTTTCCTATTGGAGAAATAACCTGGGGTCCGTTCTTCGTACCTCGCTTAAATGATCTAAGATGATTTGGCAGATCCTGGATCTTTTAATCTTGATAATTGATCTCTCGCTAATATGGTTCTTCAAACAAGTTCGCGAATCAGATTAGAATGTCTGGATAAACTGATCTGAGATCGCTGCGTGTGTTATGAAGGACAGATCTATCGATCCTCGAAATCATGATCAGCAATGCAACGATTGGCTGACGGCACAGCAGCGTAATGACATCATCTGATTAATATTCAATTATCCATGTGAGCAAAATTACATCAAATTAGCTGTAAACAGCTTGTTAAATATGCAACGCAATAACCTTCCACATTTGTTGTGAGCTGCAGGCTTTACACTTTCATGCCAAGAGTATTCATCATGTATTTCAATGCAAATCAATGTATTTAGTTCTACATTTAGAAAAGATTTTCTTTATTATAGTAGTTGTTTTTTTAATCGGTGTAAAGAATAACTGGTTGTTTACAAAGGCATTTTGATATTGGTAAAGGCGTCTACAACTTTTGTGAAGCATCAAATTCCATGGCATATTAACAATTAAAACATGTTTATGACTGCATAAATGTATTATTGCTTTAAAAAAAGTCACATATTCTGCATTTCTATTATACACAATTTGTACTAAAGCGATCTAAAAAGTTCATATCAATAAGTTTTCTCTTCGCACCACCAGGTGGCAGTCTTTGTACTTTCATTTCGAGGGTGCAGATTGCATAAGTTTTATTAATATGTATAACTTTATTTATTTTATTAATGACTATAACTTTATATATATAGTTAAAAATATGTACCATTTTCCCAAGTGTATATAACTACTACTGTAAGAAAATATCAGAACTCGGTACATACTTTTTGTATTATCTTTGCTTGAACTGAGCCGATCTAATCCTGTTTATATGAATTTAACCTGCTCCCGATCAGGTTTGACCTAGCAGAACTGTTGCTATGACAACAACTCTCGGATCAGCTTTGAAGAACGAAACGATCCTGGATCGTGTCAAATTGTCAATATCCAAATCCAGCTAATTGAGTAATCCACGTACGAAGAACGGACCCCACGAGTAATAAGTGAAGTTTGTTTATAAACTAATTTCGAGAGGATCACGTGCTTATGATTTATCACGGCCGGTCTCGTATTAGCTAATCATTATCTTCCAATCATATAAGCCCTAAGCTACTATAAAGAACCGCAGTTTTCAGTCCACCTTATCTTCATTTGGAAGAAATCCCCCTTCCTCCCCAATTCTCCTCCTTGACCTTGATCGGGCGGCACGGTGGCCCAGTGAGTAAGTAGAGCGATACCGCTCAAACATTTTGTGCATATCGAATTACTAGAAATAGAAACTGATTTTTATATCTTTTAGCTAGTTATTAGTACAGATGCCTTGCTCTGCCGGAGGGATGACTGACATCTCATGTAGTGGTATGTGAAACCCCTGTAATCCACTGTATTTGGAAGGTATGTCGGTTGATTGTGCTCTGTTTTATCATGCACTGAGGCTTGAGCGTCTCCTACACTTGACATGCTGGATGCTGCTGTTTTGTTTCTAGTTTTGTTTTGTTTTCAGTTGTTATGTTTCTAGTTTTGTTCTATTTGTGTTTTTGAATTGTTTCGTTTTTGTTATTTTTTTGCTGCTTTTGTATCAGTGTTTTGCTTTTTGCATATTTGTTCTCTTTGATCTTTGTTTCTTTTGCATATTTACAAAAATAGGAAACTTAAAATAATTGTGTGGTCTTAAGGACTGCTTTGCTTTGCTTCAATTGCTGCATTTGTGGTGCTTTGTCCTGTTTTAACATTGCGACCTTGTGCTTTACACTGTATGATTAGCTGGGGCCTGTCACCTCCATGCCCCGCTGAGTGGCTAGTAGCCGCTCTCAGGTAGTCTCTCATTTTGATGCCTCTGTGAGCCCATTTAATATATGTGCTTGTTGTATTTTATTTATTTTTTTTTCTATTTTTTCTAATTGTTTTTCTTCTTTCCCTAGGAGCTGGGGGTGTCTCGTATGGGCAGTCGGGCCACTGTGTGGCGTGACTCTTTTTCTATTAATTAGTCTTTTGCCCACTTGTGTGCATTGAAGTTTACTGTGTGGTGTTTTAAATCGAAGTGTGCACGTGTGAATCTGTTGGTCATTTTTGGGCCCAGTGCCCAGCTCGTCTGGTTGGATGAGGATTTATCTTTTTTTTTTTGTGTAATTGCCTCCACTAGTGCCTTTTTTAAAAAGAATGCATGTGCTTGTCTTTTAACATTTGTGGTTCAGAGATAATTGAATTGTAATAAAAGAAACCTTATTCTTCTATATCCACGTCTCATTGTCTTTGTCAGAAGTATGAACCTGTATTTTATGTCCTAGCTAATGTACTGGGTGGCTTAGTAGAGCTCTAATTGCAATAGTTTGTGTTAATTTGGCTTTAGTGTGCCAGTTATTGTATTGGTCTTGCGACCAACAAAAAGCCTTATCCCCCTGCGCGCCACATTTTAAATGTCTGAAAAAAAAAAAAAAAAAATTCCCTTTGAACTCAAATTTTTATTTGAGAAACTTTTAAAGTATTTTGGAGCAGTAAACATGTCAGGCAAGATTATTCTGATTAATCATTGACTTCTGCTGTCTTCATTAGTTTCAAAAACACAGATTTCTTTACAATTTAAAATGGCATCTTTGGATATATTTTCTGCTGGAGATACTGTTGTCCTGAAAAACTTAAAACATAAAAACCTTCCACTCAAATGTTTGCATATCATCAGCATGCTGTAATCCATTTTTAACAGCAAAACTAATTTTTAGACTAGTTTGTTGGCCAGTTGTAGTCAGTGCAATGCTAAACGTTATTGTTCCACTATAATTTGTTTTTGTCTCACGTCGTCCCACAGCAACATCATATAGTTTTGAATACTGTACAATGTTTTATAATAATTAATTATTTTAGTGTCCATTTCATTCAGCATATTTTAAATTAGGGGCAACGACATTTTCTGACATACTTTAAACCAGGGTTCCTACAGGTGTCACCAAGTTTAATTTAAGACTATTAAAGACATTTTTAAGACTATTATGAATGAAAATTTAAACTGATGAAGGGCTAAAGCATTGGTCACCAAACTTGTTCCTGGAGGGCCGGTGTCCTGCAGATATACCTTCAACCCTAATCAAACACACCTGAACAAGCTAATCAAGCTCTTACTTGGTATACCTAAAACATCCAGGCAGGTGTGTTGAGGCAAGTTAGAGGTAAACCCTGCAGGGACACCGGCCCTCCAGGACCAGGATTGGTGACCCCTGGGCTAAAGGCTAAGGAATTTTTCAAATGGCCAAGATGAATTTTTTTTTTTATTTGTTCTATCAAAAAAATATTATATTTAATACATTTAATAATAAAATAATAAATGAATAATAAAAAATTAAAATATTTTAGATATTTCTTAGCAAAAGATTTTAAATATTGTGTAAAAACAAGCAAGCTTTACTTGTATCCACACTATTTTATTCCAACATAAACTTCGAAAAATAATTAAAAAATAAACAAATATTTTCAACATTTTAAAAACTATAATAAACTAAATATATGCACAACAATCTGTCCAGGTCGATGTCCTCAGCAGTAAATGCATGGAGCACATTTAAACAAATGTTATTGTAAGCAAAATAATTAAACCATTATGATAAATAGAGTTAAAATGACCTTTTTGAACATAAGTTGAAAGTTATATTGAGATGAATTGTTGGTGATTGTGTGGGTTTTGGCCAGATTACGAAGCATAACATGAACAAAGGAAAATGAAGACTTGTTTAAAAAAAGATTCAAGACATACAACACAATATTTCAGTTAATTTAGGACTTTTTAAAGCCTGAAATTTTGATTTTGGAATTTACAATTTTTTTAACTCGCGGAAATCCTTGTTTATACACAATAACCCTGGTAATTAGTTATAATAATAATGATGTAATTCTAACTTGGATACCATCTGTAAGAACTAGTAACAATGAAAAGTACTAAGCCAACACTATCACTGTAATAGCAGATATCTATATATTTTATATAGCGCCAGTGCTCAAGAACTCTTTACAAACAGTGGGGGTACAAGAAAAGCAATAACTAACTAATTAAGAAGGTAGAAGACTAATAATACATAAAATAATGACAAAAGACCTGGGGACAAGTAACAAGAAAGAAACTCATTCCTGTCTTTCAATGAGTGCTAATGTGCATTTAGGGGAACCAGGCAGCACACTCAGGGCTGCAAGATAGATTTAATTTAGTATTCTTATTATTAAATTATCTGAATAAGGATCAGATGACTTTTGGAGATCAAATGTCTTTGAGAATGAAAATTAACCTGTTTGTTCCTGCGTATCTTCCTGTTTGACTGTGAATGTCTCTTCAATCTTTAAGTCTTCACTCTCCTCTTTAATAAACGCCATCTTTATAACAGTTTGGAGATCAGTCACTTCAGCAGCAGTTTTTCTCTGTGTTTGGACACTTTATCCTGTTTAAAATGAACAAAACAATAAAAAATGTCCTGTTTAAAATAAATAAAACAATGAACAGAAACAAAATAACTTCTCTTAAACACTTGCTTCAACAGTTTCTTTATATGAAAGTAATTAACAAAAATAAATCAGGTAAAAGGTTTTATTAATACTTATTACACACTTTTCTGTTAACCTACTTTATTCAAACAATTGCCTGTAAATACTGAGAATAAAATAGTACTACGTTGTATAAAGGGTTAAAATAATATGTCCAACAGCAGGAACATAATTTAACATCGTATAAAAAAACTAAAACTTTAGAACTTTAACTTCAAATAGGTTTATATCTGTAAACGTTTTAAAACAAACCTTTCTCCAGTTGAATCATAGCGCTGAAGCGGCGCCGCCTGATGACGTCACACGCCGCGTCAAAATAAAAGTATTTTTTGGTTAGCTTTTTTCCCATTTACTGTTGCAGTCATGACTTATTGACTTCTCCCATGTTTTTCACTTTACACTATTTCTTTCTCTCTCTCTCTCTCTCTCTCTTTCTCTCTCTCACAAACCATTAATATAAATATTTTAAGACAAAGGTTTAATTTATTAAATAGGATAATTTCACGTCATTCTAAGTATGTATAAGAAATGGAGTACTAGTTTTAATCAGCTCATTTGTGGCTATTGTTTCTTGCTCTGATTTACCGGATTTATTTTTGTTAATTACTCTCATATAAAGAGAAGTTATTTTGTTTCTGTTCATTGTTTTATTTATTTTAAACAGGACATTTTTATTGCTTTGTTAATTTTTAACTGGGTAAAGTGTCCAAACGCAGAGAAAACCTATATATAATAAGTCATGACTAAGAGTCAGAGGCAAAAAAAGGTTAAAAAAAGACTTTTATTTGGGCGTGGCTTGTGACGCCATAAGCCTGCGCCGCTCTCGCGCCGTGATTCAACTGGAGAAAGGTTTGTTTTAAAGCGTTTAGCTTTATATAAAGCGATTGAGTAAAGTTTCAGGTTTTTCATTAAGTGCTAAATTATGTACCTGCTGTTGACAATATTATTTTAACCCTTTATTCAACGTAGTACTATTTAACTCACAGTAATGAGGTCTATTGTTTAAATAAAGATAAGATGAACCTTTTGTTCCCGAGAGGAGATTTGTCTTGGGCAAAAAAGTGCTATAAGCAGACAATAATATAAATAAAACAAACAAAACAATTAAGAACATACCTGAAGAAAGTTTAAGTGAAGTAACAGTAAAGTTTGCAATAAGTGTTTTAATGAAGGTTTAATTTATTAAATAGCATAATTCCATTCTAAGTATACATCACCATATAAAAGAAATGGAGATAGAGGTAAAGTTGGTTTTATATTCGCACATTCGTTCATTAAGAAGTCTATATTGTTTACCATGTTACTTTAAATATTCAATCAGATTTATTAGCATGCAAGTGTGGCTTCTAAACAACATTAACACTGTTTATTTGACTGTGAACAATGCTGTACTTTGATAATCATTGGCTGCTAATATGATTTCGCTATTTAGAGTTTGCAAAAATTACTTTTATGAAATTATATTATTAAGGGGAAAGTCAGAATGTGTGAATATAAAACCAACCTATCTCTATGAAATGGAGTACTAGTTTTAATCAGCTCAATTGTGGCTATTGTTTCTTGCTCAGACTTACTCTTTTATCTAATTTCTTTTTGTTAATTACTCTCACATAAAGAAACTGTTGAAGCAAGAGTTAAAGAGAAGTTATTTTGTTTCTGTTTATTGTTTTTATTTTAAACAGGACATTTTTATTGTTTTGTTAATTTTAAACAGGATAAAGTGTCCAAACACAGAGAAAAACTCCTGCTGAAGCGACTGATCTCCACACTGTTATAAAGATGGCGTTTATTAAAGAGGAGAGTGAAGATGTGAAGATTGAAGAAACATTCACAGTGAAACAGGAAGATCTGCAGGAACAAACAGGTTGATTTTTATTCTCAAACACCAACTCAGTCATTTGATCCTCATTCAGATATAATAATAATAAGAATACTAAATTAAATCCATCTTGCAGCCTTGAGTGTGCTGCCTAGTTCTTCTAAATACACATACGCACTCATTAAAAGACAGGAATGAGTTTGTTTCATCACTTGTTCTCAGGTCTTTTGTCATTATTTTATGTATTATTAGTCTCCCATTTTCTCTACCTTCTTAAGGTTATTGCTTTTCTTGTTCCTCTACTGTTTATAAAGCGTCCTTGAGCACTGGCAATATATAAAATAAATAAAAACAATAAATTTAAAAAGGTTTACCTGAGCTGACAATATTTGACCTACAGTATTCTCATAAAGGATATCTGCTATTACAGTGATAGTGTTGGCTTAGTACTTTCCATTTGCATATGTCACAATAATCCCAATTCCAACTTCTTTATGGGTTTAAACTTGTTTCTAGTAGTTGTTAGTTCTCAAAGATAGTATCTAGAATTACATCATTTTTATAATAACTAATTACCAGGGCTAATTACGGGGTCTTAAGTTCCAAAATCAAATTTTTAGGCCTTAAGAACTCTTAAATTTACTGAAATATTGTGTTGTATGTTTTAAATGTTTTTTAAACAAGTCTTTATTTACCTTTGTTCATATTTTGCTACCCAATCTTGCCAAAATCCATACAATCACCAACAATCCATCTTAATAAAACTTTCAACTTTTTATTCAAAAACATCATTTTAACTCTATTTATCATAACAGACTAATTATTTTCCTTACAATAACATGTTTAAACGTGCTCCATGTATTTACTGCTGAGGACATCGACCTGGACAGATTGTTGTGCATAGATTTAATGGGTAAAGTAAAGCTTGCTTGTTATTACACACAATTTAAAATCTTTTGCTAAGAAATATCTCTATATTTTTTTTATTATTGTATAATTTATTTAAATAATTTTTTTTTTTTTTATCGGGCAAATAAAAATATTTTCCATCTGAGCCATTTGAAAAATTCCTTAGCCTTTAGCCCTTAACTTGCTCCAAAATACTTTCAAAGTTTCTCAAAAGAAAATATTTTGTTTTGTTATTTTACCCAGACATTAAATAAAATAATTTGTTTTAGAGCAGTAATCACAGTACAGTGAAAGTGTGATATTTTTATTCAAGGTTATCATACCAGCAGAATCTAATACTGGCCCATGCCTAATGCTGCTTGATGTTGCAGAGTCATATATTCATAAATTAGTTTTTTTCGGCTTAGTCCCTTTATTAATCTGGGGTCGCCACAGCGGAATGAACTGCCAACTTATCCAGCATATTATAATATGTTATATGTTACATATTATAATATTATTACATAATATACATATTATAATAATATACATATTATAATATGTTTTATGCAGCGTATGCACTTCCAGCTGCAACCCATCTCTGGGAAGCATCCATATACACTTATTCACACTCATACACTACGGATAATTTAGATTTACCCAATTCATTTGCTTTAGACTGTTGGGAAAACTGGTGCACCCGGAGGAAACCCATGCAATCGCGGGGAGAACATGCAAACTCCCCACAGACACGCCAGCTGACCCATCCGAGGCTTGAACCAGCAACCTTTTTGCTGTGAGGCAACAGCATTATCTAATGTGCCACCGTGTCGCCTGTTGCAAAGCCATATTTCTAATTTTCTTGTTTTTCTTGTTTGTAGAGCAAGTAGCCGTTTATTATTCCTGGTCTTTAACATAGTTATCTCCCTTCCTAGACCATAATTGGAATGCTGAATCCATAAGAGAGGGAGGGAATAACGGATTTAACAAAATGGGAGCAAAAGGCAATACTTGTTTATTATTAAAGTGAAATCTGAATTGTGACCATATTCTGAGTGATCCATTAATAACTGGGTTATTCGTAAAATATTGTTTACTCCCTAGAATCGGGGCACAAAGTAGTGAGCGTAAAGACAATGGATTAGACGTGTGCTGTTCCATCAGTAACCAAAGTGGAGCCTCATCATTACAGATGTTGGATAGCCAGAATATCAGTTTGTGTAAATTGGCTGCCCAATATTATTATAAGAAATTTGGCATTGCCAATCCACCCTCTTCCTCCTTTTTTCTTTTCAAGAATTCCTTTCTTATGCGAGTAATTTTCTTATCCCAGAGAAATGTAGAAATACAATTATTCAACTCCTTGAAAAATGACTTGGGAATAAAAACAGGCACAGACTGAAATAGAAACAGAAATCTTGGTAGTATTGTCATTTTAATGGAAGTAATCATCCAAGTCAAAAGATAAAGGAAAGGTTGACCATGGCGCCATGTCTCGTTTGGCTTTGTCAAGACGACGACAAGGTTTGTTTGAGCTCGGGTCATCCATGGCTCGTTATTATATGCATATATAGTATATCCTCTTAATTCCTCGGCTGTGTATTAGAACATGGCGGATCCTTTGTTTACATTCTGTCTAGCTTCTTGAGCTTGTGACGTATCTCTGTAACCAATCAGCATTCGGCTGCGCGTGTAGCTCCACCTTTTGGTACCCTTTCTTGTTTTTGGTACCCTTTCGAAAACCGTACCACTCAGTGGAAAGGGGCCATAAGCTGACTGGATGATAAGATTCACATTTACTTATGACCGTGATGCCCTTCTCGCCATAAAAGAGGTAGTTATGGCTACTTTGTGCACTGTAAGTTTTAGCGAGACATATTCTACGAACAATTCCAACAACTCTTATGCTGTCCCCAACTACATCTCAGAGTTTTTTTGTCGGCGGCAGGTCTGCCTCAAACATCGCAAACGGAGGAGGAAACGGGGTACCTGAGGAGGCTTCTCCCGAAAGTTAAAAACATCTCTACTTGATGTTTTTAACTTTTAACTCTACGTGATGCCTTCGGCATCACACAATGGATACATGAACCCACACACACCCTGGGCCACACACTGGATCTCCTTT